CTTGGACCTTCGGCATGTAATTATATTTAATCCATTCTAAATTACATTTAGCGTTTAACACTTTTCCCATTTTAATTAGTGAAATTACAGGCACATGGGACTTGTTAACTTATGTCTCAGGGCGGGCGGACGGGCGCTGTGGCTGTGTGGCACTGCAACTGTTATCGATAGACGTGATGTTTTCCACCAGGCGCACCACTTGTTCGTCCCGTCAGTTGGTCTTCTTATAAAAAAAAATACTTTGCTGGGTTTTAGGAAGATAAAAATGTCATTAGGCAATGTTAAGGACTGATTTTAATCCAATATATTCGCTACTCTGCGGGCTGTAGAATAGGTTATAGTATAGTATGTTTATTCGACAAAATACAGTAATTAATAAATAAATAAAAAGATATTTATTTATCCACAAAACACATTAACAAACATAACCGAAAAATTAAAACAAAAGAACCGTAATGTGGACAAAAAGGATATGGATAAAAAAAAGAAGGATGAAGACTCTGCATTGTTTCATTGACTTCAGGCTTCACCTTAAAGCTATTCACTTGCTGCATCAGACCGGCAAGCGGAGTGTATACTAAACACCAAGCAATTAATAGAGGCTGTCTGTGTTGCACTATGTGTAAAATGTAAAAATAATTGTAATGAAAAACAGAAAACATTCTAAAATTGTATTTATTTATTTAGTGTCGCTAATGGATTTAACCACCGACTAGCTAGTCGATTTCTGCACACAAGGACCCATTGTTTACACATTTTTTTGAAAGAATATATATAACGTTTTGGCATTTTTAACGTAGGCCAGTCATTCCAGCACTTACTCGCTGCGAGTCGGAAACTGCCCCTGAACAGAGTTATTACTTAGATCTTAAATAAAATGAGGTTTATTACATCCAAGTTGCAAGTGGGCGCGCAAATATTAATGGAATTTTAATTTGTTCTCCACTGTACTGTATGTATTTTCGTCTTTGGATAAATAATTTGGAGCGACACAGACGGGAGAAATTTCATTACGTATAATTGATACAGTAACATAATATAACCTCTAGAACATAATATAAAATATCTAATTTGAGATTTCAATTACTGACAATGATTAAATTTTACGACGAAATTCGGCACGGCACGTCATTCCACTTGAAGTAAAATAGGGCCCCACCTCAAGTTATTGTCTAAATGTCTTCATATAAATTTTTATTGCTCTTACACATAATAAATATGCGGTTAGGTATACTCACACGCATTCATGTCCACGTAGCCTAATTTAAATTTCCTTAGGAATAATTAAATTACATGAATCTGTAATGTTTAATAAATTCAAATGATCTTAAAAATTTTACAATTTCCATCAGCGTTTACAAAAATTTGTTCATTTTCATTGTTATTGTGCTACATGTTTATGTTTTATTTTTTTAATCCAAAAATAAGTGCGCATTTGACTTCCATCTCATCTGATGTAAAGTGACGATAAAGTCGACGATGGAGCATGCACACCTAAACAATGCCTATTCACTCTCGCCATGAAAATATACCGTTTAAGGAACAAGTCTGCAGGAAGAGAATCCCACTCCATAGCCGTTCACCATATAAATGTGGAAGCGAAATGCTTCATGCGAATCCTTGGAATATCCACAATACAGGGGTGGAAACCCCAGCCTACGTCTGATCCTCCGAGGATGGAAAGGGGAAGGCGGTCTTAATTTGTGCAATTGCCTCGCACACTGTCCGACATCCTGTAGAATAGCGATAAGCAAGCAACTTACGTATGTGGTATTTTGATTTAATGATTGATTTCTTCATCTTTTCATAGTAAATGTTTAAAATAATAAGTTGAAAGTTTGTACTCATTAAGTAGTCATTTGAAATGATAATCTCAGTTGTTATGAGCGCGGCAAAGTCAGAGAAAAGGCAATTTCCTGACCAAAATTTCAAATTAAATGTTAAATTTCGTGGTCTTCCTTTTATTTAAGATGCTAAGTTATTAAGAAGAAAACAATCCTTATGCTTAAGGCCTTCGATCAGTATAGTAAATTTATAGGTTTTTTTTGTCACATTTGGTGGGTTCGGTACCCAGTTCAGGCAGGCGATTATTTGAAAAATCTTTGAATGCAGTTCGAATTGTTTTTAAAATCAAAATGAAGTCTTCTTTTAGTAAAATGTTCTATCTACGGTATTTAAGGTACTTTCCGTCCGTGTCGTATAGCCGTGAGACTCCTGTATATTATATAACATTTTAGAAGTAGATCCCGTTCCAAAGCTATGTGCATAACTTGTTTTTATTTTTTACTGACAAGTTGCGTGGTATATTAAATTATTAAGTTCTCATATTAAATTTAGAATAATCATAAACAGAAAATAAAAGGTGTTCTATTAAATATTTGTGAAATTATTCTTGGAATTACAGATATAGGTGGGCGTATCGCTTATCCCTTGTTCCGTCATTTAAAGCCATAAATAAAAGGTATAATGAATAATTCATACTATATATTACTGTATTCTGTTCCATATTAAATCAGAAATAAAGCTAGATAGGTATGTTATCAAAAGGTACATTCTTCGATTTCATCAAATATTGTTTTCTAAAAAACCAATCTCATAAAGTCACCCCGTGTCGATAGCAAGCGAATCCTTTCCGGACTCAGTTTCATTAAAACCCCGCTCGAGCTCCCACAAAAAGAATACTGCAGTCATATTTTTAATCTTCTAGCTGAACAATACGTCGGCGTCAGCGCACAGAAAATGTGCTTCTACAGATTTTATTGTTTCTCGAACCACAGTCTAACATTTTTCTATACACTCGAAAGTTATCTGACAGATTTTTGATATGAATAAAACTTTTATTATTTCTGTATTCTAATATTTCCTCAGAGTAAAGGTGCTGGTGAAGGCACATGAGACTTGTCGACTTTTGTCTCAAATCTTTATGGCTTAAAGCTTTTAGTAGCTCTGCAACTGTTACGGACAGCCGGGTCGCTTACCCCCAGGCCCACGACTTGTTCCTCCCGTTTCTAGGTGTCATAAAAAAATAAACGTCGGTATACAGAAAATACACTTCAACTGAATTAATCACTTGTCAAATCACAGTCTAATTTTTTGTTTGCAAATGTAACTGGCTCTGTTACAAAAAAAGTGGCATTGTGAACAATACGTGGCATCACCAACAATATATAGGAAATATTAAAAGAATATGTGCTAGATAACCACACCAATTGCCTGGACTCAAAAGTAGTCGAATTCCGTGTACTCAGATCATTAGATCTGAACACCCAGACCAGGAATAATTTAGAAAATTCCATTTTCCAAATTGTTCCTACCATGAATGGAACCTGGGAGCTCCGCTTTAGTAGCAGTAAAGCTCCTTGTGAAAGAATTCGTCCAGGTAGTACTGCCACCTTACCTATTTCTGCCGCCAAGCAGTAATGTCAGCATTATTATGTTCCAGTTTTGAAGGGTAAGGGTGCTTGGTGAAATTACAGGCACGTGGGATTTGTCAACTTATGTCTCAGAGTGACGGGCGCAGTGGCAGTGACCCTCAGATCTTTGCGGTTTAAGGCACTGAGTGGCACTGCAACTGTTATGGACAGGCGTGTAGCTTACTATCAGGCGTACGACTTGTTCGTCCCGTCACTTGATGTTATAAAAATACTCCGCTTTCAGCGCCCACAATGTAAATCATTAGGACACCGATGTCGTTAGAATTGTACTGTGACACATTTTATTATTTTTTGAACAACAGATGATATTTCGATCTACTTAAGTTGATACTTTCCTCGTCTATAAAAACATTTTTATATAATTTTTGTAGCATATACCAATGGCGGATCCGACATAAATGTAAGCGTAAATAGACTGTAGAATTGTCTCACGGAGGATTTGCCTTATATTGCTTAGAGGAAATATTTTTGTACATAAAATGAGATTTTATTTTGTCGTTTCTTCAACTTTATGAGGGACGTGGTATGTTTTCCTCTTTTGGGGAATCAGCGATATTTGGGTTATAGCCGAGTGGACTACTTCACTTAACCCTGCCCCATTAGGGCAACAAAATAAATACTTTTTTAAGTTGTTAATGTAACTTATACTTCCAGGTTCATTCTTTTATTTCGTTTCGTGAATATGTATATAAAAAATCGACCTCAAAAGTCATTCATCCCCTAATTTGCCACCCCTAGAAGTGGAATATTTTCTTCATATTTAAATGGAACCACATCTGAGGTAATCTCTTTCCATCAAAGAATTATCAAAATCGATTCACAAATGGCCGGAATTATGGCGTAACATGCATACAAAAAAAAACTATGCAGTCTAATTGTGAACCTCCTCCTTCTTTGGAGTCAGTTAATAATTGGCAATATTTTAAAGTAATATCAATTATAATTGGTCAAATTACAAGCACATGGGAATTGTCAATTATGTATCAGGGTGACGGGCGCGGTGGTAGTGCCCCTCAGATTTTTGTAATTTAAAGCTCTGAGTGGCACTATAAGTGTTATGGACAGGCGTGGAGCTTACCATCATGCGCACGACTTGTTCGTCCCGTCACTTTATGTCATAAAAATTTAAAAAAAAATTTAAATATTTCTCAATTTTTGGTTCTTAGGTTTTCGTGTTTACTATAATACATTGAAACTCAAAGTATTTTAACGGATCTAAACAGTGTATATTTTTTCTTTTTTTTTCAAACAAAGTAACGATTCGGGTTCTTTACAGGTTCCATTCCCAGGTTTGTTTGAAAAAAACAAATATAATAATAATGTGTCAGATAACCACAGCAATAAACTCGGGAATTCCCTGTACTATGATTACCAGAGTAACGGAATTCATTCTGGGACACTTCCCTTGATACCCAGACCCGAACCAATTCATTTCTGTATTTGGCTCTACCGGGAATCGTACCCAAGCTCCTCAACCTGCGCCCATAATATAAACCGTTGGGTTGCCGAGGTCGTCAATATTGGGAAACAATAGTTTTATTTTTATATGTTTTGTTTTGGTTTCAGGGTCAAATACGAGATATAATCATATACCTAGATGCTTCTGATGACAAAAAGAACACATTTTGCGTGAGTATATTCTGTTTACCATATGTTTCGAAACATCTACATTCTTATTGAGACAAGTATTAGAAAACATTCATTAAAGAAATACTGCAACAGTAAAAGGTCGAAACACAAAACTGCGAACTGCGAAAACTGCAACGCGAATTGCTGCGATATGATTTCGTTCGGCAAAGCGTCTCACTTCCACGGTTCGGATGATCATTCCTTCGACGATCGTCAACGATACTGAATGTATTTTTTAAACTAGGTAGCGACAGGGATCCTAAAACGAGTGTTGCACTGCTGTTATTGATAAGAAAATATGAAAAAACACAAAGAAGATTAATATCGCAGAAATGCGTGATGCGGAGCAATTTGCAAATTCGTGCGATGTGTCGTGGTAGCTCGTAGATTTCTACGATGCGACGTCGCATCGCAGTTTTGTGTTTCGCCTCTAAATGTATTTAATAATTTTAAATTTGGAAGGAACAAATGTGAACATTGCCATTTTAATTAAGTACAAACAGTTTTAAAAAAGAGATGGATACAATAAATACAACTGGAACCAGAATGGTTGCAGATGAAAATAAAATACATATGAGCAAAAGAGCAATTTCTTTTGATTATACACATGCAAACTCTGTAATATTTGATATTTTCATCATATCTTTTGTGTTAATTATCAAAACATTTTAAACGTTTGGTGTAATTGTGAGTTTATGTTTTCAGGTGTTTAAATTACCCGCTAGTGTTAGTATGACGACTTTTTTATTTATGCTTTTGACGTGGCTCTAGGTGTATGGTAACAACATTGGGGCAAAATTTTCTCTTCTGGCAATACTGGTTCAAAATTCTGCTCTGGCAATATTATTATGCGTTCATGTCTTACACCAGCGCGATATGTTGCACTGCATTTATTTATTTTTATCTTTTTACAGTTGGAGACAAAAATGTTTACCAATAATGCCATAATTTAATGAATAACACATAGTTAATATTGTTCATATTTTCATCGTTAAATAAATATCAAATAATATTATCTTAAAAAGAGTTTTGAAGCAAAGTTTTGATAAGTAAACTTATCTTTAGTTTTCAAGAACAAATTACTAACTTTAAAACAAATCTCGTCGGCCTGTATAATATTACAGCCTACATGGCAGTTTTTTGTTTCGAAAAATAATGGCTAAACCACAAGCAAATATCTGCAACAACCACAGAAAAAAATCGTAAGATCTGCTGGTTCGTCGCGTCCAGAGGCGAATCCAGTCGGATCGAATGATTTTTTCCTTGTGTGTAATCGTTGTATTAATAATTAATTATAGATATAGTTTAACATTCACGGCGGTATAAATATTTTTGTCTACTACTGTCAAAAATTACGTTACTTATATATTTGGGCACATCCTTACCTCTGTGTGACTAACTTTTTTCCTTTCTTCCATAGCCACCTCCTGTGGATGAAGGGGACGACGTAAGTGTCTAATCTGTAATATAAACTTTTTATATGCAGAAAATTTACCATGGCGTTTGAAATTATAACCTGTATGGTTTAGTACAAAAACTAACTTTTTAATAGCGACGACGTAACACGCGATTTTGGTTATTATACTCCATTGGTTTCAGTGACACGTCACCTGTCAAAACATTTTTATTTGATTTCCCATGGAACTTCACACGCACATGGTAAAACAAATTTAGTCACGTTGCGATTGACAAAAATGTAAACAAAATGATATCGATGTTAATGTGTGTCACAAACAAACTTAATGCAGGATTTTCGGGTGCGCCTCATTTGTGTGAAAATCAAATAAACTAATTTTAATAAATATAACGTTCACTTAATATAATTTCCACTTGAACTAAATACACTCCCCTATTTCTTAATTTCATATAATTCTCGTAATAATATTAACTTATTTAAAGGTCTTTTTATGTAACAGTCATTTTATATGATTTTTAGGTTAGGTTAGTATACTCGTATGAAAAACTAACACGAGCCAAGTGAGCAAAGCGACCGTGCCGCGGCAGCGGCCGGCGATTGCCAGAACCGAATGTGTTTGCAATTCCAAATATATTTATTTCAAATGTATATCGGTTTAATACTCTATTTAGTTATGTAAAGTGAGTTTGAAACGAGTATTACGGTTAATGATTGTTATAGAAAATGGAATTATAGAATGTAACTTTACATTAAACGTTGGTTAAATTAACTTATATTTATTTTATATATCTAATTAAACTGTTATGTGAAAAAAGGTTATATGAAATAATAAAATTATATTAAATGAGCGTTAGGTTATTAATATATAAATGATATATTACACATTCAGGATTTTCATGTCCTTTGACATATGTAGGTAATCCATCAGATATATAAATCTATGGGTACAGCTGATTCAGTCACTATGGTATTTTGCTTTTGTCAATTGCACTTTACTATATATAGGTTATATGTATTCTCATCAAAACAGTTCTGTCTAACAAATTGTCCTTTCTTTCTTAGCCTCCAGAAGGAGTAAAAGGTGATGTAAGTGTCTAAATACTAATAATTAGCGAAATAAAAACTGAATTGTTTATGCAAGTAACAAACAATGAAACTCCAGACGTATTGGATATAGCCTAAGGGCGTCTTCAAATTAGCCGCTTAAAGAAGCGCTTCAGTAGCACGTTGGTGGTGCGGCAGCCGCAAGTGGCAGTAGCGCTTCAGTAATTTTTAGCTCGCCGCGCTAATGTGCGTAAATATAATATTAGCTTCTAGTTGCCGGTTGCTTGTATCCAACACAAGACACACGTTTGCGCGGCGCCTAATTGTGAAACGGTACACACATGTCACGTTAGTGGCGCTGCAATTGTGTTTCTAAAATATTGTATGAAAATTAGTAATGGCGCGGCTGCAGCGCCACAGTGGCGCCACTGTAGCACTTCTATAAGCGTCTAACTTGAAGGCGCCCTAACTCATTAAAAACGCTGTAGCGCGTCCTTCGTTAATCATTTTTATCAATTTCTAAAGACGTCTGAGAACGCGTGTTAAAAATAAAAGATACAACAGTACTGCGACAAGCGGTGCAGTTACCACGCGTTTTAATTTTACGGCCATCTTGTATGAAAGCCGACCCGTTCTTATTATTCCAACGCCGCTTTCATCTGTTTGTTACTTTGCATTTTACAAAATAGGTACAGAAATGAATAATTATTTGTTTCTTGTTTTAGTCCGGTTGTTGGAAAGATCAGGACAAAAATAATTCCTACCGTGTTGATTTATTTTATAAATGAATGCACGGAGTAGAATCTAATGATATGGCATTATCGTTTTTCTTTTGTTAAAACTATAGAAAGTGTAAAATAGTTTGGTTTCTTTATTCTAGTTCAGTTTTATTCAAGTCCAAATAGTCGATGATCAGAACTGCGTACAGATCATTTAACGTCCTAGATGTGCAAATCAGAAAAGAGTAAGCGAAAGGGTTCTTTAGTTTTGATGGTATGTTAACAACACAAGGGTAAAATCCTAAACCACGCGGAGACAAAGATGGAAAGGAGATGACGAAGTCAGTTTCGCAAAAAATATAAGTATAAGCGTATTAGAAGCTAACTTAATGGTATTAGTATCTCAAAGATTTGATATAAAAAGATTTGATATTGCAAAAGACCCTCAAGCTATTTACAATTTAATTTCATGCTATCGTTATAGTTTTACTTTCGTTAACACGAATTGCTAAATCTGTGGGAATCCTATATCATTAGGTCATACAATGTTTATTTATAAAATAATCCGTACGGTACGAATTGTTTTCTTTGTAAAGTAAGTTTATAATATTTTCGATCAATTTACGTCAATTTCATGGCAACTTATTTAATTATTAATTGGCTGCCTAACTTTCAGTACTTCTTTGTACACAATTTAACTTTCCTGAGTTAACGAACACAAATGAATTTTGTTGTTAATATCTCCAAATTCCTTCTTAAATTTGTATATTTTTAACTTTTCTAAAAATTTAACCGTTTTCGGGCGTATTACTAATTGGTATTACACTTTTAGGGTGGTTCTCCAAAACCTATGAACCTAGAAATTGTAAGTTTTATTTAATACATTTTTAATTGGCTTTTTAATAAAAGAATCCTTCACTGCTTTTACTGAAAAAAAAAGCTTTTTACGCTTTGGCAGTGTTTTGTTGCCAAATGGCATTTTAAAATCTTCGCGTCAGTAACACAAATAATAAAATAACTTTTCAGTATTTTAATTTTTGATAATAAGTTTAATTTTTATTCTTTATATTTACAGTTTACCGGAGACACTACATCATTTATTGGTTAGTCTATACGTTTTTAGTAAATATTTATATTGTATTGTACATCTAGCAGATTACTTGCTGTATTAAATACATTTAATAAGTACATATAAGATAGAGCGGACGCACACATTCGCATAATCCCGCGGTGCACTCACGTTGCATGGCATGGATGTCGCATGCGCCATTCCTTAAAGAACTGAAGCATTCGCTCAGTGTTTAAAAAATGACAGACAATAGTACATGTGAATGGTTTGTGTTAATGGTTATATTAACAAGAGTGATATCAATTCAGAATTGTTTAGCATTTCATTTCTATTTCAAAATCATACTCCCATAATCGAGATACCAATCCGCGATACCGATATTAAAATATCAGTATCTAAGTACTGTATTTACCAAATATTATAATTTTTTTAAATTTTGTTTACAACCTTTCCATTTAACATCAAGTACAATTGGTACAATTAAAATAAAACACTTGTAGGTACAATTAAAATATGTGACAACCCTACACTCCGAGCGCATCGATATGTCGAACAGGCGGAAGTTGACCAACTTGTCTTATTATACCATCTGTGTTTTAATGCGTTTATCGTCATTATCAACATATTTATACATCCCACTGCTGAGCCCATGTAACCCCTCAGGCGAGAGTTTAGGCCAGACGCTGCCACTCTGGCCTATTGAGGATTGAGGACACGAATTCCGATGCTTTCCTTCACCGAAAACCTCGAGGTTTCAAATTAAATTTCGCACATAAATTCCGAAAACTTCAGAGGTGCGAAGTCCGGATTCGAATTCTGGATTTGATAGGCGGTAGGTCAAATTATTAGGCTACCACGGCTTTTTGATGTGTAACTACCAAAGAGGTAATATCCACTCCATTTGTATTACTTGTAGTATAAGTAAATATCTATACTTTAAATTTCAATATTGTTATGCGAATATTAATGTTTATTTTTTTAATAGATTTAGCAGAAAAAGGCGATAAAGGAGATAAAGGCGATAAAGTAAGTTCTCTTGATCTTATTTTTTTAAATTAATTATTTAATTACAATATCCCGTGGATAGATATTTCTCGTAATTATTCATGGAAAATTAAGTACGGCTGTGAGCCAAAAGGAAATCGTAACAAAACAGTACTTTTTTTTTCAATTTTGACATGACTAATAGTAGCATTTTTTTGGTTTATTTGATGTCACGATGTTTGACTATCATTCATATTCAATTATTATTTGTGAAGGTACTCCACTAGTTTATTATAATTATTAATACAAAGATTGAACACTAAAGCTCAACTCACACTGGCGCGAGACGAAGCATCGCGACGCGTCATGTTTTTCGCATACAGCATATTCATCTCTATTTTCCCATTATTAAGGTTCAAATTTGTGTTATGCAATTATGGAGTCAAGCGTCAACGCGTGTCGCCGCGCGTTACTTGAGCGCTGTGAGGCGTCAGATGCCGACTACACTGTGATTCGGGCGCACTAATGCGAGCGTCGTCGCGCGTCGCCAGGCGTTGTAGTTGAAAAACAGGACGCGACGACGCGACGCTTCGACTCTGCGCCAGTGTGAGTTGAGCTTAAGAAAAATTCATTGAATCAGCGCCTTCCAGCAATCTGTGCTAGATGTTCTACCAATTAAGCCACGGAACGAACCAGCAGACCATAGGAATGTTTTTATGTGGTTGTTGCAGATCTTTGTTTCTTTTATTTTTAACGAATTTTGTATTGTAGCGCCATCTGTGAGAAATCTATTTAGTTTTCGCTCTTGATATTAATAATTATAACAAATTGTAGCAATGTTGATAACATCACAGAATATACAGAAACTTGGGAAATAATTATAAATGTCCTAATTCAAAATAATTAATCAGGCAATAAAGCGCACTCTTGGTGTAATAAGGTCACATCTTGAAAATGACAACTTTTCAAAAGAGAGGTTTGAAGATTCTGCGAACAAAATTAGTCGATTACTTTTTATGAAAAATAGGAGATATAAAATTTCGTGAAGTTAGTATTATTTTTATGACTTTCATATGATAAAAACACTTTTGACGTATAATCACATGTGGCTTTGTTATACCAAGGGTAGAAAATTAGGGGCAACTTCCCTATTTGTTACTCTAATAGATACGTTATACCTTTAAATATTGAACAATGTTTCAAAGGTATCTACGTAATTGTAATTTTTTAATCATTCCCAGGGCGACATTGGAATCGGTTTGATTGGACCTCAAGGTCCACAAGGAGCCCCTGGGCCGCCTGGGTCCATGGGTTTACAAGGAATTAAGGGAGATATAGGAGTAAGTAACGCTATCTTTGTACATGCTATAAAACACTAACACGTTGAGTTGCAATTATTTGTCTCCAACAGTCATGTTCCTGTTCGGAATCAGTTGTATCCAGTCTTTTGATGACAATGCCAGAGATGAAAGGACCTAAAGGCGAGATGGGAGAACGTGGTGACCCTGGAGATCCAGGTCCAGCAGGATTAACAGTAATCAAACATTTTTTTTTTTGACGTCATTTGCGTTTTGAAAGGTAATTACATGAAATAAGATTTTATATATTTCCAGGGTAGCCAAGGGGAAAAGGGTGAAAGAGGTGTACAAGGATTAAAAGGTGATCCTGGAGAGAAAGGCGGTGTTGGTTCTCCTGGCAAAGATGGAGAGCAAGGCCCTAAGGGGGAACCCGGTTTAGATGGAATACCTGGTCGACCTGGTGAACCAGGACCTAGAGGACCTGCTGGACCTCCCGGGTTAGGTCATGAGAAGGTAACCTTACGAGCAAATATGGATCTAACGCCGTTTTGTCATGTCTCACGTTCAGTTATAGACAATCTACAAATAACGTGACAGTGGCTTTATTTAATGTCATTTTATACGATACTTAATAATACGGCCAGAGAAACAATACCTTACTTAAGAGGTTTAATTTACACAAGAATATGTACATTGTGTATATAATTTTTGTACATAGAAATCAATGAATGATTCCAAATATAACCTGATCAATGTTACTTATCTGTTGAATTTAAAAACAGTAATTAATACTTATTCCGACAAATACTATCACAACCCGTATTGATTAACAGGGAACAGTAGGGAGAACTGTACCTGGAGAGAAAGGCGATATAGGACCAATAGGACCACCTGGCCCCATTGGACCCAAAGGAACTACTGGAGAAAAGGGTGAAACGGGCCAGCGAGGTGACAAAGGAGATAAAGGTGATATGGTAAGTACACAATGATTCTCCACAAAAAATATCATAATTCTGTTATTAATATAACAGATCGAACAAATCATGCATCTGATGGTAAGCAATACCCATAACAGATACAGTGTGATTCGGTGCTTTAAAGCACAAAAATCTGAGGGGTAACGCCACTGTGCCCGTTACCCTAATATATAAAATGGATAAATCCCATATGCTTGTAATTTCACCAGCACCCTTACTCTTCAAAACCGGAACACAGTAATGATCACACTACAGTTTGGTGCAAATAGATATGATGGCAATATTTTCCTGGTCGATGTTTTTTACATGTAGGTAGAACTTTCTCTACTACTGTATTATTGTATAACGTTGTAATAATTGTAGGCGAGAGGAAGATTGGTAGGGCGTTATGTCTCAAACTACGTACAATAATGTATTCCTACATAATTATAGGTTTTGGTTTTGGTTTAAGACTTTGGAGGCCATCTCTAGCAATTTTACCATCCACTAGCATTCATTGAAGTAAAATATATAGATAAATCAAAAACGTAATATTCTAAATCAACAGACATCATCAGTATCACTTTTCGTATGGTGGTCAATACCAGTATCTAATTAATGGTCAATAACATGAAATATATCTGTTCCTCAGGGTCATAGCGGGCTGAAAGGTTTAAAAGGAGATTCAGGAGAAAGAGGAGAATCAGGAAAAGATGGGGTACCAGGAATTCCTGGTTCTCATGGTAGACATGGTGAAAAAGGAGACAAAGGTGCAATATTGCGTTCCTATTTTGTTTTTATCTATACCACTTCTATGAGAACTATGGTAACATTTTTTTCACATTCAGGTGACACAGGAGGAAAAGGAGAAATAGGTCCATCTGGTCGTTCTGCATCATTAACAGATCTGCTTGATCCTGACATGGACTCAGCTGAAAGTAAGTTCTACAATAAAATTTTCACTTTTATTTTCATTGTCGCAATGAGGTATAATAAAATGAGGTAGAACAGTTCGTTCATTTATACTGAGCCAATGCATATACAAACCTTTATATACTAGTTTGACATAAATAGCCTGAATAAATTTTATCCAACAATATGAAACCAGACATTCTACTCACGATCAAGTAATAACGTAAGTAGATTGAATCTCCGAACATTTTTTGCTACTATTGGCTATATTGGCTTTGATCCTTATCCCAGAACCCCCAAGTTCTATTGTCAGATGAACCCTTGATTTCTATCCTTGTCGGTTATAAGAATAACGAAAGAGAGAAGGCAAATGGGTCACATAAATTTATTTCCCTTGAAATATCTATACAGCGAAAGCTGTTACTGTCATTTTTCGGTCGAACGAAACGCATTGGAGTTTCTATTTCTATTTCTTTTATCCGTTATTTGTTTTGCATGTATGACCGGGATATAACTATTTTTGGGAAAAAGATCAATGTAGTGTAAACCTTTATATTAAATCGAATGTAGTTATAGATTTCCTTTCTGCCTATTCCATATCGATGCCTTACTTTCTCAAACTCATGTCTTATAAAGAGTGATTATTAAGAAGATATCAAAACTTTCCATATACTTTAAATTTATTCTAAAGGATGTCAATTTGGAATAAGAATAGGTAAAAGCCAGTGTGGTGAATATGAAAAAAATGTGATATGAAATCAGCCTGCAAAATTTGCACTTACTTACATACAATCCATTTGTTATAATTATTAATACAAAGATCGAACACTCAGAAAAAGTTCCTTCGATCCGATCGGATTCGAACCGACGTCTTCTTGCATACCGTGCCAGACGCTATACCAACTAAGCCACAGAACGAACCAACGGACCTCACGAATTTTTGTATGTGCTTGCGTCGTGTCTTTGTATTTAGTTTTTCGACTTTTTGTCGTAGCGCCATCTATGAGAAATCTATGAAAGATTTATCACCCAGTTAGTACCTTTACAGTTACCAGTCCTGGCGAGAGATGTCGCTATTATTTATTTAATATAAAGCCTTTATACGATATTAATACAATAAATTTTTTGCATTTCAGTAATTTCGTGCTTTAAGATACAAGTTTGAGAAAGTAAGGCGACGATAATGTTATGTTATATTAGGTATACACATATAAACTTATTTTTATTTTCACTGTGACAGATACTGCAGTTGTAGAAAAACTACGAGGATTCAAAGGCGATAAAGGAGAATATGGGGAAAAGGTATTAAAATAATTTTATTATTATAGCTATTATTTTTCTTATTATTTTAAAGGTATGTTGCAGATTGCCAACTGATATTATTGGCAGAGCTTCTTTGACTGCGTCACCAAACAAAATGGCGAGCTAAAATCTCGTAATCCGAATCACTCATAATCTTAATGTACCTCTCGATAATAACTAGTGGTCGTTTATTCGACGATTTTATGGGTATTAAAATTCTAAATTCTTGTTCTAATCCCTGAACGCAATGGCGTGAGATGTAACGATTTTTATACTTTAAGTGCAGCCACTCAGCTCACTATAAATCACAAAGTTCTCATGACAAAATGTATACAAAAATACAATATTTTTTTCTTAATGTCCGGTAATTTTAAATTTTTCACGTTCTATATACAAATTTAATTTAAATGTACGTTTGTTATTTAAAATGTTAAAGTTGCTAATGACTATACAAATGTTTATTTTCCTGCAATGTTACAATAATTTCATCAATCCCGGTGTTGCGAGTTTTTTTTTAGCTAAAAACCGAACAAAATGAAAAAAAAAATAATTTTATTTATTGGAACAAAATTACATAAACTTTACCAACTGAAGCTTTATGAATATTGTTGCGTACCTATGACTTGAACTGGATTTGATAGAGTTTTATCAAGAAGTCGTAATATACAATCAGTTATATATGCAATCATTTCATAAAATTTTACAGTACCTTCCTGTCTTTTTTGTGAGACACAAAGTCATAAAAATGCTTTTTCCACCATTGACTTTAATGGTAACGTCCGCGCGCATTCAGCTAACTGCTTAGTACGTGAACACCAATGACAGAGGAGGTACACGTTCCAGTTTAAAACCATTAAGATCGCTCCTCATTTACTTGAATGTAGTTCTTAATAATTTTAATTAATATTATTTTTTTTAATTCTTAATTTTTCCGCAACTACTGGACATTGGAAATGAAAATATACGTTTGTATTTAAAAAAAAACTAGATTTCGGACTCTTCTCCGTGACCTTGGAACCTGTATGTTCCAAGGTCACTCAGATAGTATTAGTGCTACTGTATTTGCAATTCTCAGTCCGTACTGGTGTACACATCGAGATCTAGGTTTTGTGATTGCTGGGTAATTTTCAGGTTAGTTTTCTCTATTTAATTTCAATGGCAACTTTTATTATTTAATTTATTTCCACTGAAATATCCGTACAGCGAAAACTGTTGTTGTCATTTTTATTTTTTTTATATTCGAACGAAACGCATTGGAGTTTCTATTTCTTTTATCTTTTATTTATTATTTTACTTTTAAGAGTTCTTCCAGGAAAATACTGCCACCTATTTCTGTCGCCAAGCAGTAAAGTGGGACTTGTCAATTGATGTCTCAGGGTGACGGGCGCAGTGGCAGTGCCCTCAAGATCTGTGCGACATAAAGCCCTGTGTGACACTGCTACTGTTATAGATAGGTGGAGCTTACCATCAGGCGCACGACTTATTCGTCCCGTCACTTGGTGTTACACAATAAAAATTGCCACCAAAATTAGGTACAGAAAACTAATCTGATAGACATAGATACCCTTCTACGCTTTGGAAATGAAGTTAATTTTTCTTATCTAAATCGTAATTAAATTTTTATTGAATTGATATTCAATTATTTTTATGTGAAATTACTCCACTATTTATTATTCTGGCATGGTAAGCTAGAAGACGTCGGTTCATATCCGACTGGATCGAAGGAATTTTTTGTGAGTGTTCGATCTTTGTATTAATAATTATAACAAACTAGTGGAGTAATTTCACAACAAATAATTAAATATCAATTCAATAAAAATTTAAAATTACTCCACTAGTTTGTTAGAATTATTAATATAAATATCGAACACTCAGAAAAAATTCCTTCGATCCGACCGGATTCTAACTAAGCTTAGATCGAAGAAATTTTCCTAATAATTTTCTAAATCGTAATGTTATTTGTTTGTTACATTCAGGGTATGAAAGGTGATTTAGGACCAATAGGGCCACCTGGATCTCCCGGTGCACACGGACGTCCTGGACACGGTGAACGAGGACATACAGGTCCTAAAGGGGACCAAGGCATAGAGGGACCTAAAGGACAGAAAGGAGAGCCAGGAGACCCTAGAACTTCGTTGTTTGGTTCTTCTTCCCCTGGTGCAAAGGTTGGTCGCATTTGTTTGTCTTTAAATTATAGAGTATAATATATTTTTTCTCTAAAACTCAAAACGTGTTAATGTTTTCAATGGAATACAATAAAATAAAGAATTTAATTTTTACTCTCTACGGACACATACCACTTTTAGAGTAGTTAGTAAAAACAATGATAAACACTTGGTTTCAACAAAAATATATTTCTTTTTAATGTAAATCGCGTATCGTTCCATCCTACCATCGCCATTAAGAAAAACCATCTGATTATGGTTTTTACAAGCCGATGGCAGATTAAAAAGGGAACAAATGGCGTATATGTGTTTATTCTACATAACCAACGTTTCGGTCTCCTTACAGGTCCCTTGGTTACGGATAACTGGTGATATGGTATTAGTTATATAACAGTTACGTCTAATGTTAAAGCAAATCATTTTTTTCTGAACCATAGGTTCAATTAATTAATTAACTGCCTCCATGGCCTAACGGTTACTGCTGCTGGTCTCCCACGCAGAGGTCCCGAATTCGATTCCCGGGCCGTGAGAAATATTTGTATGGCCTACGTTTATTTCTCTCGTGAATTTGGGTGTAATTTGTCTATGTGTGTGTCCGTGGCACTCGAAACACAGGGTTTCCCTAGTACGGGGCTATGAGTGCGTGCTATAAAAAAATATATAACCACTATTTTTATGTTACCAAAAATGTTCCAATATAATATATTATGCTACACACGTACGATTTGTAAAATAATTTAATAATAATTCCTTTTTTATTAAATGAAATTTATGAAATAAACGAAAAACAAAAATACAAAAATAAAATAATACATATTAACTAGCAGTACTGTACTCTTATATTTATTTGCTCGGGATATTTAATCAGAGAGAATACTGGAACCCAAGCTGGTGGTATGTAGAAAACATATTCCCTGTTGAAATTAGGCTGTTTGATAATTTCAATGACATCTCGCAGCATTCTGGGTAAAAGACAGACTTCTTTTGCAAGGATCTAGCGTTTGTCAAATTTAATTGAATGAGTGGGTTTATCTAAGACGCGTTCGTAGACTACAGACTTTTTTTACGTGATTTTGCTCAGCTTTAGATTCTTTGACGCTCTGGTAGGAATTCCTCGCTTTGTCCATTATTTTGAGAAGTAGAGAATACAGAATTAGTTCAATATTTTATTCAGCATGCCTTTCAACTCCATGACTTTAATATAGTCATCGTAGCGACAATGCTTGCTACTCTACTCAAATTCCGGTTCCTTGTTTTCTTGTCTCATATTTAAAACAAATTTAATATTCTATTTAGGGTGACAAAGGAGACAAGGGTGACCATGGTCCAATAGGAAAAACTGGTCCAAGGGGACCGACGGGTCATACTGGTAAGAGAGGTGCTACTGGTCCGACTGGTCCCAAAGGAAATCAAGGTGACACTGGACTACAGGGGCCCATGGTAAGTTCCAGTATTATTCTTCTAATTTTGATAATATTTTTTATCAAATAGTCATTTATTTTTATTATAATAACAATTCTTAAAACTTGTTATAAAAGAATATGAGAACTGTATGCACTACATACTATTTTATGAGCAAAGCCTCTGTATTTCAAATATGAATTAATTGTAGGTTTTTAATTCACTTCTTTATTATTAATCTGTTAAAAGTAATGTAATGGTAAATTATAAATAGTTAATACAGAAAGAAACCTTTTTTGTTCGTTTAAAAAAATCTTTTAAGTGCAATAGGAACTGCGCTAAACGCCCAATATACTTTAAAATGTAC